ATTATCTCAAACTCTATTAAACGATTTGTGTGTGTGTGTGTGTGTGTGTATTTATTTATTTTTAGCTCCCACCAATAAGTGAGAACATGTGGTATTTCTCTTTCTGTGCCTGAGTTTCACTTAATATAATTCTCTCAAGGTCCATCCATATTGTTGTTCCCAGATTATTCTTTTAAAGAAGAGAGAGAAATCTTTTTAAATTTCAGAACAGGGATATGCAAACTATGATCCACAGGCCAAATCTAGCCCACTGCCTGTTTTTGTTCAGCTTGCATGCTAAGCATGGTTTTTATACTTTTCAAATGGTTTGGGGAAAGCGTCAAAAGAAGAATATTTTTGTGACAAGTAGAAATAATATGAAATTTGAATTTCATTGTCTATAAAATTTTATTGTAATATAGCCATACCCATTTGTTTAGGTATTATATGTGGTTGCTTTTGTGCTTTAGGCATAAAATGTGTACTTTCTGGCCCTTTGCATAAATAGGTTGCCAACCCCTGTTCTAGAATTATTTTTAATTGGGTGATGTGTGGGGAAGAGAAAAAAATGTTTAATTTATCTCATATTTAAGTTTGAAATGTAATTAAATTGTCATTTTAAATATCCTTTTCAACTTGTCAACTGTAGCCATTTGAAAAGCAGGGAAAATGAGGGGTAAACAGGTGGAAGAAATGAACTACAAAGGCGATATCACCTAAAAAAAAAAAAAAAAAAAGACATAATACATAGAAGAAAAGAAGTCAGAGAAAGGAGAAGAGACCAAGGAAGGCTCATGCATTCTTTCATTTAATGACTTTTTGGAGCAAGGAGACAATACTGTAGTGATTTGTTCCAAATTATTTGTTGCTCATAGCTTTTCAACTGCTTTTCCTAATATTTTATTGAAAAGTGAAATAATATGTAAAAACAGTATATAAAGTTTATTCTTTTTCTTAAATCTTCAATTTAATAGGAAACTAAAATGTAAACCTACTAACCTAGTGTAACCTAGCTGTTTTCATTTGTCGTGTTGAATAGAATTTACTACAAAACTGACCTCTTAGGTCTCATTCAATTGAATTGCTCCACCAAAAAAAGAAAGAAACTTAAATAGGAGATCTTGCCAAGAACCTAAAGAAATCGCTTTTGACCATATATTTGTTGTGTTGATAAGACTTGTACAAATAAATTTTATTTATTTAGCTATTTTACCTTTTTAGTCTTTCTCCAGTGAAGAACTATGTTATGACTCTTATGTTTGTTTGTTCTTTTATAGGTGTGTTTAAGCAGAGGAAAATTATTAGTTGAAAAAGCTATCAAGGACCATGTAAGTAGGAACTTTAAAAATTCACATTGTATGTTTTGCCATTAAAAATTCAAATGGAGGGGGCCGGCCCGGTGGCGCACTGGATAGTGCGCCGCTTGGGAAGCGTGGCGGCGCTCCCACCCGAGGGTTCAGATCCCACATACAGACCGGTTCCCGCTCACTGGCTGAGCGAGGCGCGGGAGCAACGCCGAGGGTTGCAATCCCGTTGCCGGTCCCCGGTCCGGTACGGGGGCAACACTGAGGGTTGCGATCCGTTGCCGGACACGGAAAAAGACAAAAAAAAAATTCAAATGGAGGGCACTGGCCCATTAGCTCAGTTAGAGCACAGTGTTACAACATCAAGGTCAAGGGTTTAGATCCCAGTGCTGGCCAAGTTGCAGGAAAAAAAAAATTCAAATGGAAATTGTAGATGTTCTTAATATATTTTTTCTCATTTTTAATAGGAAAAGCCTAAATTTCTTCATGTATCTCATTTTACAAAGAGAATCTACTTTGCATGAAGAAACATCACCATCTTGTGGTCTTTTAAAATACTACTACGTGTTAAATTTTTGAGAACGTGGGTATAAAGTGGGATTGGTTTTAGAAATTCTAAAAGAAAAAAAATTAATGTCCTCATTGCTATTGTTAATTCTATAAAGGTCTGTTCTGAATAACCATCTCAGTGACATTAGGCTTCAAATTGAGTTTTTTAAAATTTAGTTCATTTTAAATAGTCTGTAGAGAAACTTCTTTTTAACTTTTTTTTCTTACAGGATTTTATTCCTTCAAATAGTATATTATCAAATGCCTTATCATGGGGAGTAAAAATTCTTCATATTGATGGTAAGGATTCTATAATTGTCTTTTGCCAATATTTGTTATAAGTACCCATGTCTGTCCCTTGGTTCCTGGATTTTCATAGTAAAGTTTTTGATAACAAGGGATGCTTGTAATGGTAATTCCTTCATATAAATTTACTACAACTATAAGAAAATATCTATGTTTAACTCCAAGGGTAAAATTGCAAATCTTAAACCCTTCTCTCTTTTAATAAAGACATTAGATACTACATTGAACAAAAGAAAAAAGAACTGTATTTACTCAAGAAATCAAGTACTTCTGCAAGAGATGTGGTATGTTTTTAATTTTTAAACTAATTTTTAAAAGCATTCAAGTTTGGGGTTTTTTTTTAATGTATCTGTAAATTTTTCTTGCCAAGTAGAAAATATTATTGTCACAGTATCCTAGGGGTAAGCCCGTGTATTGTATTCATGTTTCTCTTGTTCAAATAAATTGTTATATATCATTAAATTTTAGGATTGAACTCATGAGGTAAAAAGTTGTTTATGGGATAGTGGCATAGGTTTTTTTGTTTGTTTCCTTATTGGTTGTTGTTGTTTTTTTTTTTTAACAGATACTTTTGCTTATTCTGTAGGAAAACCCTAAAATTAGCCTGTTGCCTAGGAAGTTACTTCTGTTTGTAACGTAAATAGGGAAAGTACTTACTTTTCAACTGCTCTAGATGGTGGTATAACAAAACCTTGTTAGATAGTATGGCCTTGAAATATTTTTGAAATATTGAAATATTTTTTAAATAATCTCATTGGGGATTGAGCTCTGTTAGACTTAATTTCCTGGCTGCTTCTTTGTAGCCTCTATACAGATTCCAGCCTTTTTCATCCTTAAAAACAAATGCAATAAAACCTCCCTTGACCCCACATCCTACCTAAATACTTTCCAATATATATAATCCTTCTCATCCGAACTTCTCCAATCTCACTTTTATACTTCCCATATACTTTTCAGCCTATAAGGTATGAAACTCTTGGCCAATTGGCCAAATCAATTTGATACTTTTTAAAACCAATCATATTGGTTCTCTCAGCTGTTGTTCATTCCTTGAACTTTTCTCTTCTGGAATTTCTTTCATCTCTTAACTTTCTTCTGGTTCTCATATTTCTGAGACCATTTATTTGTGATCTGCTTTTCCTTTAGTTAATTCTCTTTTTAAATATTTTCTTATTAACATATTCATTCTTACAAATTATTATATTTCTTTATGCTCTTACCCAACCTATCACTTCCCAAACCCCGTCGTACCTTCCCCCTTCTCTAGTATCCTTAGGTTTGTTCTCTCCTTCTGAAAGTTCAACATATTGTGGTCTTTTCTTTCTTTCTTTTCTTCATTCCATCCTTCTTCCCTCCTTCCCTCCCCCATTCATTTAATTCTTAAATGATTGGGATCTAAAATAAAAATAAATTTCACAGGAGACTGTGTGTAAAGACATGAAGCCATAAGTAGGATGGCATGTTCTGGAAATTTTCTTTAGTATAATACAACTTGATCTTTGAGTGAGAGAATAACAAAAGATGAAGCTGGAAAAATCAAGTTCAGATTATAATGGACCTTACACACTGTATAAAGGAGTTAGATTTTATCTTGAAGGGAGTAGAAAATTACTGAAAGATTATGAAGTGACCTGATTGGATAGTCATTTTGGAAAGATCTTCTGGTTGCCATTACAGAATGAATTCTTTGCTGGCAAGACTGAGAACTGGAAAATGGCTTTTGAACTCTCTTGAACACAATTATCAATAAATACACTACATCGTGACCACTCAGAATATGCATGCCACATACAAGGAAGCATGAATTCCCTCTGACTTTCACTTTAATAAATTCACATTTATATAAGATATGAATAATATGCAGAAAGCAGCAAATAGTTTTCTTAGTATTTAAATAAAACTTAATATTTTATTTGTCTATCTTATTTACAGGTAAAAAAATTTTCAAATGGCTATTTCCAAATCTTCACAAAGTGATGAGTGGATGTACCTTTATTGGACTATGCTAAGTAGCATATAAATGACCTCTACTGCACTTTGCAGATTGGATTGTATATAGAAGTAAATGTATGAAAAATTTAAACTCACAGGGACATTTAGGGCCTCTGTGTAGATAACACACATCACATTTGTCTTCGTATGTGTATGGATCTGAAAGAAGTTTCATGGAACAATACTTACCTTTCAAATGTGACACATACCGATATTTCTATAGTATCTTCGTTTCTTAAAAATACTGGTAACAACTCTCTAAGTTGACTTTAAAGCCTGCTAATAGGGCACAGTTCACAGTTTAAAAAACATGCTGGGATGTTATTGTCAGTAATCATATCTAATGTCGAAGGCCTGGCTTAAGGAAGTAACAGAAGGGGAGGGGAAGATTTGAAGGATACTTAACAGGTATCAGTGCAGCCAGTGCCTTGAATTTGGTATGTACTAGATTATAAACTCCATGAGAACTCAGATCCTGTATTCCCCTTATTCATTTAGTATTGAACAAATACTATGGTTTTTATCTTTATCATTGGTTTTTAGTTTGATCGTGATGTGTCTAGTGTGTTTTTTAATCTTTGAGATTATTCTGTTTTGCTATTCACTGAGCTTCTTGAATCTACAGATTTAGGTTTGGAAAGTTTTGTTATTTTTTTTTTTTCTTTATCAGTCAATCTCCTCTTTCTACAACTACAGTAATGCTAAAATTATTAAAGTTAGACCTCTTATGTTGTCATGCAGGTCCCTGGGGTTCTTCTGTTCTTTATTTTTCACCTAATCTCTTTATTTCTCTTTTCTCACAATTGGAGATTTCTATTCATTTGTCTTCAAGTTCATTGACACTTTACTCTTTCATCTACAATCTGCTAACCAGCCCATCCAGTGAATTTTATATTTCAGATAATGTATTTTTCAGTTTTACAATTCCTGTCTGATCCTTTTTTATAGTTAGTTTTTCTTTTGAGAATTTGTGTCTTTCCATTCATTTTAAGTGTTTGCCTTCACTTTAAAGTCTTTTTCTGATAATTCTGACATCAGGAACATTTTGGGGTTGGCATCTGATTGTCTTTCCCTTGAGAATTGATCATGTTTTCCTGGTTCTTTAAATGTCATTTGACTATATATAATAGTTTGGATAATGCTGATTTTAATTTTGCTGTTATTTTAGCAGACCGTCGTCCCAGTTTTGTTCAAACTGTCAATTCTGTCTCAATTTTCTTCTGTTTCAGTTTTCGAAGACTTGTAGTCAGCTTTGGATTTGTTCTGCACACACACCATATATAGGTTAGTCTAAGATTCAGGCAGTGTTTTAAATCTTAGTTTCATTTTCCAGGCCCTTGCTATGCTGCGTTGGGTCTGTCCTTAGCATGTGCAACTTGGAGTTAAGCCTAGCACTTGTATGGGCTTATATAGGGAATTAAGGATTCCCTTCTCCAGCTTGCTCCTTTCTTGGATTTCCCCCTCAATCTCCAGCCTGCAATGGCCCTTTTCCTAGTTGTTCTAGTCAGAAAGTGAGAGTTTCTCAGTTTTTACTGCTTGTGCTACATTTACATCTACAGCTTCATAACTGGGGCCAACCCTCAGAACAAAACTGTGGGAGAAATGAAAGAAAAAATAGTATAGGGATTCCCTTGGTATTTGGACTACCGTAGCCTCTTTCCTGGTTCTTCTAGCCAGAAAAAATGGGGTTTGTATAGGAGTTTTAGCCACTGGCTCTTCCACTGCTGCCAGCTCCATGACTAGAGATCTGAGTTTTGATTCTCTTTATTTACTTTTCATTCTTCAGGTAGTTGCTTACTGAATGTTGTTCAGAGTTTTTAGTTGTAATCGGTGGGATTGACTGCCTCTATTAGATATATTTCATCTTGGCCTGAACTGATGGACTGTAATAAATTTTTGACTACTTCCTTTGTTGAGTTTAACACAAAAGTTTTGCTGAATAAGAGCATCTGAATAACTTACATGACTGTTTTTAGATTATTTCATTAACTAATTTTTCCTTATTGGTTGATTTCTTGCTATAAAGGCAAAAATAATTACAGCTGGAATGCAAGGTAATTGTTTAATGTAACTGAACTGTGCACTTAAAAATGGTTAAGATAGTAAATCTTATGTGTATTTTACCATAATTTAAAAATTGGTTTTTTGTTGGGTGTATTACTGAATTTTAAACCAGTGATTAAGATCTTTAATTCTTGAGTGACCATTGTTTAATTCATTTGGTTAGGTTGATTTTTAAAAGCAAGATTCCCCTCCCCCATCAAACAATAACAGTCACACTTCCTTGCTATAGTACTCTTTCTATACTATTTTTTAACCTTGAGGATATTGAACAACTGCAGTTGCTGTTTTCATTGTACTTCAAACAGTATTTTCACTATTTTTTTTTTTTTAGGGGAAAAGAGTTTGTACTGGCACACAAAAAACAAGAAGTAAGTATTTTGATATCCTTAAATGTGTGTGGTTTGCTTTTAGAAAATAGAACAAATTATTTAAAGACCTTATAAAATCATGCAAACAGCCCTTTAAATAATTTATTCAGGGGTTTCTTGGTCCTTTTTTTAGAACATGGGCCCCTGTGATAATCTGATGAAGCTTATGGACCCCCCTTTTCAGAATAATGTTTTTAAAAACATTTTATAAAAAATCATTAGAATACCAAAAAAATCAATTACATTGAAATTTAGTTATTAAGGTAGTTTTTAATTATAAAAAAGTGATAGAATTGCTTTCTATTATACATTAAAAATAAGTTCTACTAGTGATTCTAATGGCTACTGTAATTTTGAAGTGATAAGCATAAATGATGCTTTATCTGTAATAACTAATTTGGTATGAAAATGTTTGCTGCTTCCATTGGTATCAAGGTTACAGGTACTGCTAATACTATTGTGATTTGTTGCTTGGAGGAAATGTTAAATCTCAGTCACAAGTGAAGATGGAAGTGCAGTTTTTTTCCTATTCCAGTTCATGATCCTTCTGAATTGTATTCATAGACCCTTTGGGAGCCGCATTCAGAATGTTTAAGAATATTGGACTATAGACAGAAGTTCTGTTATTTTTGAAAATGGGGTAATATTGGAGAATACTTCACCTGAGGCTTAAAACTTTGAAGTGGATACATAGTTGTCTTTTGGTTTTGGGGGGGTTTTGCCGAAGTAGTTTTGTTTACCCCCCCCCAAAAAAAATCCTGATTTTGCAAGTATCTAATATGTTTTCTATGTTCTCAAGCAGGAAGACTCAAAAAGCCTTTTGTAAAGGTGGAAGATATGAGCCAGTAAGTATCTAAGTCAATCCATATGATTTAAGCTTTTATTAAAGGAGAAAATCTCCTAACTAATCGTGTTAGGTTTCTTTATGTTAGATATATATTATACTAATGTGCTTGTGACATGCTTTACAGAGAGTAGCATTCATTCGTGCCCAAGGACAGAATTTAGTTTCAGGGTGTTGTAGATATTTCTTTAAATATCTGGTTTAGAGCAATTGTGAAACTAGCTTTTTAGTATTTCAAATAGTCATTCTCTGGCTAATTGCAGTATCAAGTGATTCATAACTACTACTTAAAGATTGCTCTATATTTGTGAAAAGGACATTATTACATACTATTTGGAAATACAAAATCTGATTATAACATCTAAAACTCATTCTGAAGTTTTGTAGGATAATCCTAATGAAGCCTACAGATATAAAGAAGTTAGTTTGATATTGGAAAATTAGATTACTTCCTCTTGACTTTCCAGTTACTCATTTAGACATATGTGGCTTCAGTTCTCTTGGGTACTCACTGAGGTGACAAAGGTGGGTTCAAAACTTCTTTTTACGAAATGTGTTATTGTAAAGAAAAAAAGGCATTCGAAATTAGGCCTAGAGAAGATACCAATAAATGAAATGATAAGTTTATGGATTGAAAAACTTAATATCGTTAAGATATAAATCAGTACTACTCAAAGTGATCTATAGATTCAGTGCAGTCCCTGTCAAAATCCCAATTATGTTTTTAGTAGAAATGGAAAGATCCATCCCAAAGTTTATATGAAATCTCAAGGAACCTTGAATAACCAAAACAATCTTAAAAAAGAACAGAAATGGGACTGTTAGCTGAGTTGGTTAGAGTGTGGTGCTGATAACACCAAGGTCCAGGATTTAATCCCTATACTGGCCAGCCACCAAAAAAAAAAAAAAAGAACAAAATTGGAGGTCTCATACCCCCTGATTTCAAAACTTACTACAAAGCTATGGTAATCAAAACAATTTGGTGCGGGCGTAGACAGACATACAGACTAATGGAATAAAATAGAGAGCTCAGAAATAAACCATCACATATATGGTCTAATTTCTGACGAAGGTATGAAGATCAATGGGGAAGGAACAGTCTTTTCAACAAATGGTGTTGGGAAAACTAGATATCCACAGGCAAAAGAATGAAGTTGGACCTTTACCATACATCATATACAAAAAAATAACTCAAAATGGATCAAAGACATAATACTGTAAAACTCTTAGAAGAAAACATAGGAGAAAAAGCTTCATGACATTGGATTTAGCAGTGGTTTCTTGGTGTGACACCAAAAATGAAGGCAACAGAAGATAAAATTATTAAATTGAACTGTATGGAAGTTATGAATTTCTGTGCATCAAAGGATACAATATAGTATAAAGGCAACCCAAAGAATAGGAGAAGATATCTGCAAGTCATATATCTAATAAGGGATTAATATCCAGAATCTATAAAGAATTTCTACAACTCAACAACAAAAATCAACCCAATTTTTAAAAGTGCAAAGCACTCAATAGACATTTCCCCAAAAATGATAATACAGGGCTGGCCCGGTGGCGCACTGGATAGTGCGCCGCTTGGGAAGCGCGGCAGCGCTCCCGCCCGAGGGTTCAGATCCCACATACAGACCGGTTCCCGCTCACTGGCTGAGCGAGGCACAGGAGCAACACCGAGGGTTGCGATCCCGTTGCCGGTCCCCGGTCCGGTACGGGGGCAACACTGAGGGTTGCGATCCGTTGCCGGACATGGAAAAAAGACAAAGAGACAAAAAAATAAATAAAAAAA